ACAAATAACTTATTAAAGCTTTGAAGAATTTTGTGAGAAGGGACAAAGAAAAAAAAAATCAAGTTCTCCTCCAATCCATTTGGAGGAGGCTGGTTCTAGGACATTGTTTGAAGGGACTAAAAGGATCCATTTGGAGGAGGCTGCCACTAAATAGATTTGGAAATCCTGTCTGAGAGATTTTGGGGTTTTTTTTAAAGGTGCCCTCCTTCATTTTTAACATGGCTGATAGCAGCCAGAAAAAACTTAGGAAACTATTATTCCTCCAGCATAAACCTCCTTTTCTATTTTAATACCATTCTACAAATTACTTTTTCCTGATTTATACAGAAATACATCACATTTCAGGAAAGTGTGTCACATTGTATTTTTCAAAAGTGATCAGGTGCCTAAACATTTCCATTCAAATTTATATAGTAGTTTCCCAGTGTTTATGATGAAGCGGTGTAAAGATTTAGGACATAAAGTAGGTGTATACTTACTTGCTTTCCATTTTTGCACAATCCAGGAAAGAGATAATAGTGAAAAATTCATAACTTCTGACATTCCCACTAATACCAGTGGAACTATAGTAAGTTTGAATTTGGATGGATTTAATCAGTCTATATTCTGCTTGTTTTGGAAAACAGTTGGGTTTGCTAAATGTAATTCAGAATCAAATCAAGTAAGGCTTCGTTGTATTCTGAAATATGAATTTTTGTAGAAACATGAGAAGAGTTTTTTTTTAAAATTAATCATCTTCATGATCTGCAAAAAAAAAAAAAAGAAAAAATAATTGGAATAATTATTATCTTCCTAGGAGACAGAGAAGATTGGTCAAAAAGTGGAAAGAAGTGCAGAAAGATTGTTGGTTTCAGTAGTAGCGGTAAGAATCTTATTTCCTCTTAAGACTTCAGGAAACCTTATACATTTTAAGAAGTTTTAGTACATATTATGCTTTTGTTGTTTGTAATCTGACTAGAACCATCATATTCTTCATTCTGTATTCTAAACCCATGCAAGATATGCGATATGTTAACGAAAGATAACGTGCTTCTCATCAAAAAGTGAATAGAGACAGAACAGCCTTGGCATGTAAAGCTAAATCATAGTTTTGCAAGATATGGATAGCATTACTGTCATATATATCTTACTTTGGGGAACATAGTCTAGAAATCAATCTATTGCATTCTGGTTATGAGGAGCTGTATTAAAAAAAGCAGCTTATTGTCCCTTAAAAGCCTCCTCTCAGTTAATATTCCCTGGAAAAACTGGGTCTCTGTTCAGGGCCAGCACAAGAACAGCAACTTGTCCCATATCCACTTTATCCTAACCACCACTCTGATATTGAAACATTGTCCAAGATTTTTTAGCAAGAAAAAAATGGAAGTGCCCTATAAGTTTCCAAAATAAATAATAAATAGTTCTAGGTGCACCCTTCAGATAACAGTGAAAGAGATACAATGGAATATACGGATTTTCATCAGTTTAGTGTTTTTTTTTTCATTTTATTATTATATATTTTTGGAAGAATATAAGAAAGAGATAATGCAAATGTGGAGGCTAGAAAACTAAGGTTCAGGTAATGAAGTACAGGAAAATGAGCAACAAAGTTGAAATATCAGAAAACTAATATGTTCCAATATATCATTAGAAACAAGGGAAAACACCCGTGCCTTTTTGGTCTCAATGCTTGTCCTCCAGAACATTTTACCACCCATTATTAGATTTGCCCCAACTTTGCAGAATCAGGAAGTCAGTGAAGCCTAGTTGGTTTGTTCTGAGATGTTATGCTCAGCTGCCTTTTTAAAAAACTTCTGTGATCTTATGTTGTATTTATAGTTATTTATATTCTTGTTTAATTTTAAATTCTGTTTACCACCCAGAGTCACTTTGGTGAGAGGAATAGCCATATAAGTAGAAGTAAATAAATAAAAACCTGTGATATTATAAGATTTTTCATACCCATTTTCTGAGGCAAACTAAAGTGTCTCTGTTGAACTTTAAGTTGGAAGTTCTTGGTTAATATAATTTAATAGTGTTAATATAGCATGCACTAGGAGAGTAGAATTTTCCTTGTGGCAGGGATCAGCAAGCATTTAGCTTTCCCCATACAATTACTTACAGATGTGATTTAGAGCAAAGCTGCATTAATGTTGTTTCTTTTTTCTTTTTCTCTTTCTTTTAGCCTTATTTTCAATGTATAATTTGGCTATTTCTTCTGCGATACCTTGAGGTGAAGCATGGAGGCAAATCAATGAGAGTGGACCCTTTTTTCAGGTAAATATTCTTCATTTTCCTTTAAAAAATCAGTACTGAAATTACTTTACCAAAGCAAAACTTGACAACAATAAGCTGAGTTCAATAAGCTTAAGTTCTTTAAGAACATTATTGAGGCTTAGTTTAATTTAATTTAATATTTAATAACAATATTAATATTGTTATTGAGGCTTTTTGTCCACAAAGATGTAAAATCCATTTATTCATTGTTTTTTTTTCTGGGTGGGGCTAGGCTGGGCTTGAGTGTTCTCTTAAGGTAGCAGTATTTTTGGCTTTTTCTGAATTGTCTTTGCTAAGATAATTGATCCAGGAAAATCCCTGCTTTTGAAAATGTTTTAATATAGCTACTTCTCCCCACCTTCTTGCCTTTCCAAACTTGCTGTGTCTTTTGTAAGCCCTTCCCTGCATCCTGTGCCTCTCCAACATTTCTGTTTGGTGAATCCATCTTTGCTCGCAGTAATATTTTTTCTATTGTGAAAAATGGATGTACAGATAATAGGATTTTATTTGCTGTTTCTACATAAGGACTATCTCCTCATGCATTCACTTGTCCTCTCAGCAGAACAGCCCTTGGTATCTCTAGAAACATGGATTGGGCTGCTCTTTGTTCTAGTTCTTTCTTGGAGAGTTCCTTCCAAGAGTCTCAGCAGGGTGAGGGAGAAGACTCACAGCTGTAGTTCCTTCTCCTCGCCCAACACTTGAGGAGTCTCTACCATGTAGTGAGAAAGTTCTTACTAATGACAAAGTCCTTCACTTGGATGCACTCTCATTTGGCTGCAAGGTTACCCTGCATGTTAGGTTTTTGTGAATAGAGCTGTCCATAGGATCAGACCTACTGTCTGGCCCAAGAGACAGAATTTTTTTGCTCTCAATTGGGTCTATTAAGAAGTCCCACAAGCAGAGATTGAATATATTTTCCTATCCAGAACTCCTATGCGGCTCAAAGCCTGTAAATTCCTAGATGTATCACCTGAAGAAGATGGAGATGAAGATGTTATGGCTGAAAAGCTGAAAGTTAAAGAGATGATAACTTGCCAGGACTGTGAAGAGGTAAATGAGCCTGTCCTAATCCTCCCATCCAATTGGCACTCTGTATGCAATGTCACAGAAAAGAAATAATTTGCTAGGCCACATTTGTGATTATTAACACAAACACAAATTAGGCTGCCAATTAATCTCTCCAGGGATCAGAGAAAGCAAGCTATAGTAAAAATCACAAAGGGATCATTATCATTTGCCTGATCTTCATGTTTTGATTATATCCCTGAACCAGCCATATAATAATTCTCCTCATTTTCAGTCCTGGGCACAGGAGCATGTAGAGAAATCTCAAATGGGAGTGGCCTGAGATATCCTGCACCCATTTCCATTATTACAATGTCCATCTCTCATAACAGCAGAAAAGGCTTCAGACTATTCCTACATGTTGGCTAGTTATGCTGACTAAAAGAAATATTGACCATTGAAAGGAATTATTGTGCATCATATATTCATGCTAATTCAGTATAAGTTCAATATTACTTTTTTGTTCTTTAGAAACCAGCAGTATTGGTCAGCAGCTTACATAAGGAATATGATGGAAAGACTGATTTCCTTCTTGGAAGAAAAATGAAAAAAGTGGCAACTAACTATCTTTCACTTTGTGTTAAGAGAGGTTATTGTTAAATTTACTATAGAATTTACTTTTTCAAAAGTGAAACCAATTAGCTTTTTGGAAAAACGAGATGTTCTGTTGTTTTGCTTCTTTTTTAGGAGAGGTTCTGGGAGTATTAGGCCCTAATGGAGCTGGGAAGAGCACACTGATTAATATTCTAGCAGGAGAAGTTGAACCCACTTCAGGCCAGGTATATAATTTTGATCAAATCTTGTATCTACTCTTCCTCACAATTTTTTGGTTTTTAATCATTATTGAACTCTCATCCATAACAAGATTCACAGTACTTTCTAGGCAGAGGAAATGGATATTTTTTACTGAAGCTATATGTATTTCAGCACTGTTCATGATAGAATATCACTTGAAGTACATATTTTTTCTGACTGGCACAGAAGTACCTAGACCTCATATAGATAACCAAATATCTATATCTCCCACTGTTTCTACCTGCATCATAAGATCTGATGCAGTGGGCGTGCTCCAGGTCCCATCTTCAAAATTGTGCCATCTGATGGGACCCAAGCAGTGTGCGTTCTCTGTCACAGTGCCTGCCCTCTGGAATTATCATCTCCCCCAGTGGTCTGAGTTGCCCTGAACCTGCTGCTGTTCTTTAAAGACCTGGCTCTTTCCCTAGGCCCTGGTTTAGGAATATATGCCTTGGTGGGAATTGTATTAATGTGTTTGGTATATCAGCCTCTGGGTTATTGCCTTCTTTCCATTTTTGTTGTACTGAATGTATTTTTAACTTTTACACTGCCCAGAGTCATTATGAGTTAGGTGGCGTATAAATTTGATTTATAAATCAATCAGTAACATAGAAAAGATACCTGCTGTTGGCAATATTTGAACATATGGATCATTCCTCTTTTTAAGTCATTAGATATTATTCAGTAGGGCTGTGCAGAATTTCAAATCCTTGAAGTTAATTTGATCAAATCATTACTTGAATAATTTAATTACTGAATCAGTTTGATGCTTGAAAAGAGATGCCTTGTAATCAATGCAGCACTTCAACAAACTCTGGTAAATACATAAGCACACATTTATATTTGAATCAATTTGATTTCATGCTTTCTATTAATCCCAGCAATCAATTAATAGAATATGGGAATGGGCGTATGTGATTAAATGAACTAATTAAAAAAAAATGAGGGAAGACTATTGCAAAACAAGTTCATAGATAAATGCTTATATTACATTGGAATACATTTTTGATAAAATAAAGTGATGTATTTTATCTATTATACTTATGTCTTAAAAATTAAGATTTCAGTTAATTCAGCTTTTCACAATCACCTTTAACTAGAAACATTATGAAAAGAATACTGAGAAGAGATTCTTGTATCCACAGGTGCTGATGGGGGATTATTGTTTAGGTGAAAATCATATGGATAATTCCATGAAATACATGGGATACTGTCCACAGGCAAACCCACTTTGGCCTAATATAACATTACAAGAACATTTTGAAATTTATGGGGCTATCAAAGGAATGAATACTAATGACATGAGAGAAGTCATAAAATGGTAAGTATCTCAAGTATTTAATTTTTGTATACATTAATTGTATTTTCTCTTACTGTGCTATGACATGATCTTGTTGAAGATATTGATCATATAAATATTTTATAAATGCTATAGAGATTCTTATATGGTTGGTTGTTTATGTATATCAGATATTTTTGTTGGTTTATTTATTTCCTTACGCCCTGCCTTTTCACCAAAAATGGCTTCATTCTCGAAAAAATTGCACCATTTCAATTTTTTATATTTATTGTACTATATGGGGATGATACTCTCTCTTCAGCAGCGCATAGTTCAATATCAACATGCGTACAACAGATTAATGCAAATCAAGGTGTCTACACATACCATCAGTTTACTATATCATTACAAAGGATGTTTGTTTCTTCATTCTTGCACATCTACTTCATAATTTTCCTTGAATAAAAGCTTTTTAAAGGTTAACCAAAAAAGCGTGTGCATCGAATCTTGATAGATGTAATTTCCAGTGATTACTATGAAGCTACTTCATATTTTATATTTGAGTGCAGTAAAATACCAGGTCCTTCATCACATGTGATGGAGGTACACATATAAATCCTTTTACAAACCTAAGCCTGCCTGAAGACTTAATACACTCTTTCTTTGGTTTACCAACAGAAATAAGCAGAAAATCTTGCTACTAATGTTCTGCAGTTTCCAGCTGAATTTTTCAGAAGTTAAATCACAAAAGAATGGGACTTGTAGGTTATAGTTACTCATTGCTGCTATAAAATATTTGGAAACAGGGCTTCATGAGAATTTTAAGGCAGTATATTTAGGTATTTATGTCATACTTGATGAGAGATTGAAAAGACAACATATTACTCTGGTTTCCATGCTAGTGAAAAAGAAGACTCTCATCTGTTTCAGCTATAATGTATTTCAAAAGAGTACTGCCTAGTAAATTAAATATTATAAGTTATACATCAAATGAACTACCAGCCAGGAGCCCTTAAGATCATAAAAATCATAGTGGGGATGGGAGAAAAAGAATCCGCTTACATGTTTCCTTTGTCTGAAAGGAGTCAAATTGATGCTATGAAAGGAAGAGATTCCTTTCCTCAGTAGCCCCATACCTCTGGACTGTGCAAAACAGTGACGTCTGTCAAAACCCATCACTGTCAGCCTTAAGAAAAACCCTCAGTGTTCATTTATTTTTCCTTGGCCTCTTCCCAAGTTATCTTGGTTTTGAAGAAAATGTGTTTTATTTTACTGTTTCTTGGTGATCTATGTTTTGTTGTTATCACTGGTTTTTATTAATGTTTATATTTGTTATATTATTTTAATTTTGTGAGTTACTTGGAAAAGTTTTATCTCCTAAAGCAGGGTTTGAAAATTAATTAAATATATTGTGTTGACTGTATCCTACTTGCCCCTCATTTTATATTGTTCTATGTTTTTATGAGTCTTAAATGTAGTTTCTTAAATGTGCAAATGTTTAACAGCTTATTAATACTCCCCTTTCAAGATTATAAAAATGTTTTCCACAGCTTTTCCAATGCACTTGACCTTAAGGAACATCTACAAAAGAGAGTGAAGAAACTTGGTGCAGGAATCAAACGAAAGGTATTTACTATTTTTTTAAAAAAAATGATTGTACAAGTTGTATTATATAAAGCAAACAGACATCAAGGTAATATCTTCTGTTTCTTTATTTTTTCAGTTATGCTTTGCCTTAAGTATGCTTGGAAATCCTCATATTACTCTCTTAGATGAGCCATCTACTGGTATGGACCCCATAGCAATACATCACATGTGGTGAGTAGCCTCCAATGGTACTGGAAGGGAATATCTTGTTGATTTCTATATAATTTAAGTTTTAATTTAGCATAAGTGTTTTGTCAAGCATATTATCATTCTTTAACTGTTGAAGTCATGGCTCTTGTTTAAGTAATCAAGAGAGAAATTTCAACCATCATTCAAGAAGGAGTTATCAAAGCATGAATCTTGTAGATACTTAAGAAATCTTTCAGGGACAGACAATCTTAGGAAGAAGAGAGCAGGCAAGCTTATCAGGACTCAGTGGACTAGAAAGTTCACTCACTAAAAACAAGAGGTAGAAGAAGGAATGGTAAAGGAAAACATGTGGGATATAGTCCAGAAAGGTGCAAGGAGGAGGAAGAGACATAAGAATATCTCCTAAATGAATTCATTTGTCCCCTAAATGAATGTGTCCTGCTTCAGGTTTCAACTGCACACACAGTCACTTATGGAGTTTAGCGATTTTACTCCAAGGCTGAAGAGATAGCAGCAAACAAAGGAATGTAAGCAAAAGTGAGGTTTGCCT